TTAATGAGTTTTTTGGGTTCATTGAGAACATGGTTGTTGTTCAATAATAAAATTATTCCTCAAAAATACAACTTGCCTAATAATTCTGCACTCCCTGTATGGTCTGACCTTGGGATGAATTTGTGGGAACATCGACTCCGGGGGAGATTGTTCTGAAAAACTGTAGAATGATGGGCTTCAGTTCCTTGAAAGTGGCAACAGTTGCTTCTCTCATGGCTGATGTTTATGACGTTTATGGAGGTGGTCATTCTGATTAATAATTAATTAATCAACTGATTTCATTAGTAGCACTTGGTTGCTTACTCTTTACATTTCAAAATATAAATAATAAAAGTTGCATAATCTTTAGATTGTATATGTTTAAAAATTTAATATACAAAAAGCTGTCTTACTTGCACACATTCAGAAAAAGTTAATGTGCTACGGAAAATGGCATATGAAATTTAAAATGTAAAAATAATGACACCTTCTGACAAACTGAGACTTAATGCCATTGAAAATTTTATTGTGATATCTGATAGTTTACATTAGAGTGAAAACAGACATGTGACATGGCTTTAATAAGACAGAATGCAAAGCAATGTAGTCAAATAAAAAGCAGAATATTTGCTTTTAAATTTAGGAAGAAAAAAACAAAAAACAGGCACGACATCATAAATACAACATGCTTTTAGACCTCAAACTGTAGTTTAACAGTCCTAAGAAAAGAACTTGTACAGTCTTTTCCCCGTATACCCATCTAGCCTTTGATCAACATCCTGTTTAGACAGTAACAGAGCGCAAAAAGTAGGTAGCCAGTGCCACGATAACAACAGAACAACAATAAAAAGTAAACAGTTTTCAGCAGCAAATATCTACATTTTTCATCCAGGCTGCTTTGACGCTGTATTTCAGAGAATCAAAACATTCTACAGAAAGACAATGTCATAGGTGACAGGTTTTCTACTCTTTGATTTTGGTATCGCAGTCGAATCTCCAGGGGCCCATCGACCGTGGCCCCTGGCTTCGTTCCTGCCCGCTGACACATGACACTGATGCATTCGATAGAGCCTGGGTCTTTATTTGGTACGCACTGGCGGTGACACTGGCAGCTGCTTTTTGTTGGTTCAATTTTGACTGACTTATCGAAGGGTAGAGTACAGAGGCTCTGCAGTCGGGTCGCTCCCAGAAACTGCTGCTGCTGCCATGTGGAGGTCCTCAAGAGAAACTGGCTGTGTGCATGTAGCAGAGGGAAATCGTACAACTGTGTGTGTGCATTCAGTAATGATTCAGGTAGACACAAACAGTCCTGTAAGGTAGATTTCTTTCCAAATTTTGCTACCGGTGCTGGTCTTGTGAGACTGAGTGTGTGGAAAGTTCACAGAGGTAAACCAACCTAAAGGCAGGGGCTGTGGCATTGTTATGTTAATGCAATCAGACTTTGCTGTTTTAATAAAAGCTCATCATAGTTCAGGAGCTGCAACCTTCGAGCATCTAACGATGCATTCATGCGAACATCTAATGTTTGTAGCTTTAAACTGACCAAATCTCACGACATGTGGAAGAAGACATGGCTTTAATGCAATGACTGTTTTATCCGATGGCCTTCCAGTCTGTAGTTTTCCAGCTTGTTACCAGGAAATGGAAAGACAAGCTAGTTCTGGCTGAAGGACCTCAAATCTTTCACATCATCTTTCAATACTTTAGAATTTGGACTCAAAAACAGGCCATTAAAAGTTTGATACGACATAGAAGTTTGTTGCACCTCTGAGCACACGCCCAAACGATGCTACGGGGTTAACTCTTGCAGCTGCGCTCAACACTCTATGCATTAAGTTGTTGGACAGACCTGCAAATTCTTGCCTGCGTTTGACAGGCCCTGCGTGTCCTGCAAAACATCGAAAGGATGCAGCACCAGAACTGAGATGTGACTAAAACAGGCTATTATCATCAAAACAAGCCATTCGATCAAATAGATAAGGGGAGTAACAGTTCACTTTTACACAAAAAAAGAAAAACACCACGAGAATGAATACGTTCAAAAAAATACAATCAGATATTCACAGCCAGTGTTGCCGCAAACTAACGACCTCCGACATAGCTGCCACAGGGTGCATTTCTACACCTGAAAGCCCTCAGCACAGGAGACACTGACTGTGGTGGCCAAAGGGTCTTGGTAAAGGCTCTCCCTGCGACATGGTGGGAGATTCCAGCTCGCCCTCAACGTCTACATGGCTCAGCAGAGACCTAAACACCGGCCCTCTAATGGGCTCTTACCACACAAGCTAAATAAACAAGCTAACAGAAAAAAAAGCAAACAAACCAAACGGGGGATAAATCACTTCCAAACAAACTAACCTGGCTGTCAACCTCGCAGATCAGCGGGCGAGACAGCGAAACCAAACAGCTGTGAAAGGGAAGAAAAAAAACACCAGGAAAACTCAAAAAGGAAAGAGGGGAAAACTGAGGAAGAGAAGGTAAACATTCGCTTTGGTGTGCAGGCATGCATGTGGATTAACACACATGCATGTATGCGCACACGCCAGACACCACACAGCCAGAGGTACGGTGAACAAAAGTGCTTCAAGTAGGGGAAGTAAAAGAACTAACCCAGTAGAAATACGTATAAAACCTTAAATATGTTACTTTATGTACAAAAACTGTAACACGGGCCAATATCTTAGCTGTTTATGTATTTATATTTCAAGTAGGTATCACTGCTAACTATCAAGGGTTTGCATTGTCATAGTTTTAGGTTAAAAGGTCGTGTGATCTGACTGACCTTGCCGGCAAAGTAATCAATCACTGCTGATTTTTTTTTTTTTGATTTTTTTTTTAATCTCTCCCATCGTGTCCCACCCTGCCCACACCATCACCTGCTGCCATCTTTTTAATCCCTCTGATTAAAAAGTCCAACAAGTCCCGGGCAACCTCTTCCTCCTCTTTGCTTTACTCTGAGAAATAATATACTGAATATCCATCTGTTTTTGCACCTTTAAATCTGAACGTAGAAAATATATGTGTGTATATATACCAAGTCTCTGTTATCCATAGAGCTCTGAGGATTTTGGTGAAAAATGTTATTTTGAGGGCTACTTCTTTGAACCAGGAAGGGGGCGAAGGGAAGGGGAAGACACATCGGTTCACATGAAAGTTTTCAGAGTTATGCACTGCACAACAGAAGGAAAAAGAAAAGAAAACAAGTAGAGGGAGGCCGTTCGTGTTTTGAAGAGGCACAAGATTCATACGGCTTGGAGGCAAATCACAGATGCTGTCCACAAAGAGACGATTCATACGCTCCGAGAGAGAGAGAAGGACGTAAAGTGCAAAAGATCTAGAAGAACGGGGCGAAGCGGCGGGATTTCCAGGATAGCAGCAAAAAATTGGAAACTACTTTGTGGTGTGGAAGAAGTGAGAGGAAACCCGGAATTTAAACAAAATGAAACCAAATTTCCTCAAAGTATCTAACAGGCAGCTGCTAAGCATACCAGAGTCGACAAAGCCCTCCTGCTCCAGCTTCCTTTCCATCTCCAACAATCTGTCGTTCATCTGTGAGAAGGCCATTGGGAAACGAGAGCGAACAAACATTTTGCCTCCAAACCGCGATGGACCAAACGCCTCTGCAAAGTGCAAACGAAGTCGTTCAAGTATGCCACTGTATAATGCATGACCACACACACAAAATGCATATATACACACAGTAATATGCATATATACATATGTGCGTGACAGCAAATATATATATATAGAAACCATGTTCCAATATCGACGTACTACGAACATTTTCATAGTATTTATGGATATGTAATCATAGTATGTGTATTTATATTCATATGTAAGTGTGTCTCTTATTGTTTCATTACCAGACAATGGGATAATACACTCTGTCATCGTGTTTTATGATGTGTGGGCACTGATGGAAGGATCCCCAGTCTAATAACCATTTCTGCTCCTTTTTCGTCTTTCACTCGTGCTACTGCTGCAAACTGGGACCAGCCACAATCGCAATTAGCCAAACACTACAAATATGTATCTATAGATCTATGTATACGTATATATATACCCATTTATGTCAAACGAATACTAGGTGCTGCTTTCAATGCTTTTGGGTGCTGAAAAGTACCAGAAAGAGGGAAAAAGAAAGTCGAAAAAAAGGGTAAAAACAGAAAAATATCAGGTATAAAATTCCACAATACTGCAAACTCATTCTTTGCCTCTTTAAAAAAGAAAAAAAGAAAGAAAGCAAGATGCTGCTACATATTTGCAACTACGATAAACTCCCTTTCCCCCTCTGCTCCTCACCCATCCCTGATTACTCATTTGGACATTAGCAAAGAAAAGCATGCTCAGCTAGAGGCAGAGATACACCAAGCCGACAAAATGAATAAACACAGACTTGACAGGGAATATAATGCTAACCAGTAACATCCATCGGCTGCCAAACCAAATCTTTACCAAACCCGACGTTAAAACTGAAGCAAATAACATTAAAATAACCATCAAGAAAAGAAAGAAACGTCCTCTCGGTGAAGTCTCTCTCTTCCTTCGCATAGTGGTCGACACGTCACCACAATCACTTGTAAGCGTGTTTCGGTGGGGCGGCGGCGGGTTGAGAGTGGGCGGGGTCGATCCCAAAAGCTCTGGGGAAGTAACGGCGGGACTCACATGACGTCGTTTTTCAACGAGTCGCTCCACTCGGCGGTCGCCGTTTGTTCACTTTCACAATGAGCAGGTGGGTGCGTGTGCACGTGGAGAAGGCGGGAAGGTGGAGGTGTTTGATTTTTTTAACTGTTAGGAAAGTGTGGGGGCTGGTGGAGGGAGGGCCGGACGAGCGCCCTCCCCCTGTAGTTCGATAAAGAGCATTCCCAGGTCAGAAAAACAACAACAAAAACAAGAAAAACAAACGGAGAGGCGGAGCGTCACTCCCACCCGTTGTCCTTGATCATGTGAGCCAGCTCGATGATGAACTTTCCCTCTTTGTACTTTTGACTGCTTTCAAACGCGTGCTCCTGTTAAAAGAGGAAAAACATCAGAGAATCAGTCAGGAAAAAGAAAAACACATTATCAAACAAAACGAGTGACAGTGGGAATACAAGTGGAAAAAGAGCAATAAACAGCTGCTCTTCATATCTCAGTGGCTCATCTGTGCTCACTTTACTTTTCTCGTATATCGGTGCATCTTTGTAACCATCACCGGTGCATCATATAGACTAACGTGCTCTGCAGGGACTGCTGATGTAAATTAGCAGCTTTGCTAAAATCTGGCACGCTTACATCTTCCGTTTTTTTTTAATAGTCATAAAAACACACAAAAAGAAAGAAAGACTGGCGATTTTGTCCCAGCCCTTTTTTTATATGGAGAACATGGGAAGCGTAGAGGCAGCATTCAAGCATCCAAGATGAACACATTGATGTAGCACTATCACCATCTATCACATCACCGTCAGAGAACAGCAGGGCTTTGAGAGACGCAGAGAGAAATATGAGAAATATTTCCTCCGGTGTCCAAATCGCTTCGTTCAAAGGTCTAAACTTCCAGACCGGCAGTGCATCTCGTTAAGTGCTGTATGATTTCCGGCATATGTCCCGGCCCTGCTGAGCTCCGGGAGACTCGTGCGAGTCTGCTTCTGTGAATATTTGCTCAGCCTGGTTTGCCTTGTAAACCAGCCCTGCTCTGCTTTGCTTGCAGGGCTTTTCGGAGAATCTCTAATTGTTTTTGTCACTGAAGCAGCAGCTTTAAGTGAGTCCCTGTCTTTATACCGTGTTCAGTTATTTTACACCCTTCTATACTCTTTTCACACAATTACCAGGACAAGCCTCTTCAAAACGGCCTGACATTTAATCACTGTAGATTCTCAGAGGTACCAGCCTGGCTGCCTGCAGCCAACCTTTCGGCACTGTAATTATCTTGCACACTTGGATACCACAGAGTGTTCAATCTCTGAGCCCAAACAAAAACCTGAGTATTTAAAAAAAGAAAAAGTGTCACAGTTTCTTTAATGAGAGCAACCTCGTTCTTCTGACCTGTAACAGCATAATGTGTTCTCTCAGAAACTAGAAAAACCACACAGATGCAAAACAACAAAGCAGCAGCCTTAAGTGATCCATCAAGACAGACGGGGAAAGTTTAAATAGCAAATTACTTACATATTTCCAGCCAAGGGTGGTTTTACAGTTTTCACAGTAGATATCAGCCACAGCATGTAAACCTGTGAGGAGAACCCGCTCCTCTGCTGGCCCGCAGCCGACATTCACCCTGTAAGGAAGGCAGGGAGATCAGGAAAGGTCACAAGGGTCAAGGAAATTAAAGCAGAGCATAAATAGAGGCCCTGTGATTAAATATGGTAAATGGCCTGTATTTGTACAGCGCTTTACTTAGTCCCAAGGACCCCAAAGCGCTTTACACTACATTCAGTCATCCACCCATTCACGCACTGGCGATGGCAAGCCACAGCTGCCCTGGGGCGCCACCGGGCCCTCTGACCACCACCAGTAGGCAACGGGTGAAGTGTCTTGCCCAAGGACACAACGACCGAGACTGTCAGAGCCGGGGCTCGAACCGGCAACCTTCCAGTTACAAGACGAACTGCCAACTCTTGAGCCACGATCGCGCCTAAATCTACCCAAACCATTTTGTATAGACCGAATCTTATTTTCTTGCAGAAAGTTTCAGGAGTGAAAGCAAAGCAAAGATAAACGTGTTAAGAATGACTCGACGCTGACACTTTGCTCTTAGTTTGCCCCCAAAATCTTTGTTGTGCTGTTAAATCCTCTGCTTTAAGTTTACCAGGTAGGGACACATCAGCTCTACAGACGTCAGCCTTTCCTTGAAAATACCGCGAACCTTGGCGTCTTACTTAATTTGCTGACGAACTGGTATTGCCGCGCAGAGGTGCAGCAACCTGTGACGGTGTGAGAATATGTAAACATTCACGTCTACCTCGGCTGACCCGTACTGTCAGCGAGCTGCACGCTTGGATTTGTTGGCAGATGTAGACACAAGAAAGAAAAGCGCCTGATGGTCAGCCTCATGAGGAGAAAGGCAGACACGTCTGATAACTCACAGCAAAACAATCCAGGCAGACTGACTGGACTGCTTTTTGTGGTGAACTGGCCCTTTAAAAACGCTGCGCTGCAGAGAAGTTTGAGTGGCGTTTTAATTAAACGAACACGTCATGAGAAACACGCTCCTTTTGAAATTATTATATGTAACCAAGCAACCGGTAGATGTCTGCAAACCTTTAGTTTTTTCCCTCCACCACAAATGTTTCTGTTTTTCAGCCTAAATGTCTTTTTACCTGCAGCGCACCATAAGCTTTGTCTCAGGGGTTCGGTTGCTTTCACATTGTTCGGAATCATTTATTCAGACGCTCGTAAACTGCTTCTCTCATTCGATTCATTGTGACAGGTGAAACAATGTAATTCAGAGTCGGGTGGCACGAAGCTGCTGAAAAGCAACACTGTCTCAAAATGTCTCGGGGCTCTGGGGGGCAGAGAGGGGGGCGGCTTCTGCGCGGTTCATTAAGACTGAGAGCAGAGTCCCAAAAACCAACCAACCAAGAAATAGACCGGTAAAACTTGCTCTCAGGTTCAAAGAGATGAATGCTAACCAGCTTTTTCTGCAGCACGGACTGAAACTCTGAAAGAATGGAAGTTCGTCCTGTGTTCACCGGTAAGAAATGATTTGTTTGTTTCCAGGTCAAATGATAAATTAATGACTGGACTCATTAAAACATGATTAGAAATAGTGCAAAAGCTGAACCGGTCGTGTGTGTGATCTAAACTGAAAACTACAATTATTTTGACATCGTTTGACCTGAAAAACACCAAATAAATCGGCGCTTGCTGGGCTTGGCTGCTGCAAACTGGAACCAGACTGTTTCTGAGTCACTATGGTGCCAGAAATCTGCAGTTCCTTTGAGTGTTTGTAGTTAAATTTTCTGGCATGCAATATCATTTTATGAACCCACAGAGGCCACCTAAAGGAGGTGTTTGTAAGCCAACTGTGGTGCAGTCTGCATGCATGACAGATCCATGCTCCGAGAGCATGAAAATTTATGTGCATCTCATGCTAACAGCTCTGGCTGCAGCAGTGCACTGATAAGATGCAGGTGTACAAAGAAGCATCCCGGCACAACATTTCCTCCTATGAACCTTCATCACTGGAATGTGTGCATCTATGAGGACATGGGGGTGGGAACTATTAATTAAAGGATGGGTTGCTTTAAGTGTGCTTTTCCTGAACAGTGATTATGTGCGTGCATAAAGCATGTGCTGAGTAGAACTTATCAAAATAACTGTAAATGGCTACTCCGACAAATTCTGCAGAAGCGAACGGGGTTAGTGGAGGTGATCGTTCCTCTTTCGCTTCTAAATTTTGGCCTGTGCAGTTAAGAAGAAAGTGCTTTCAACATTTCAACAGCTAACATGGTGTTTCAACTGATGAAAGTGGCAAATGTTGAAAGCAAAGTGGAGTGAAAGAAGAATTCAGATAACTGAACTGTGTTTTAAAGCCAAACTAAGCTATAGGTCAGACTGCTTATATGAGAAACAAGGAGGGTGAGCTGGAGGTGTGAGAGTCATACTTACACTGAATTAAACAGATAGGCTCTTCCTTGACTGCCTTGAAATGACTGAAACCAGAGAGAGAGAGAAAAAGACATCATGTAAGTTGACATTAAAGAGCTGCGCCGCACCGCTGAGTTCAAGAATGTCAGCATCTGACGCCCCGGGGTGCTTCTCCCCCCTCGACTGCTGTGCATTCTTGTTCTTCCACCTTATCAACAGTCCTGCACAAGTTTGGCTGCAGGTAAGGAATAAAATGAGGCTCAAAAATGCAGAAGCCTGAGCAGATAAACAACACAGACAGGTCTATGAATAATGTGGACGTGAGAGCAGTAAAAACATTAGACCACATAAACAACGACTCAGTATTCACAAACTTCAGTTTCTGCTAAGTACTGCATGGACAGTCATGTAAGAAGAGGTCAATACTCTACTCAAAAGTAGAGTATTAAAGTACAAGTAGGGCTATGAGGAAACAGATGAAAGTTTGTTTTGAATAAATGGATCATATAAAATCAAGGTAAAAATCGAATGAGTCACATTTTTACAGTTTTTCCATCTGCAATCTCAACATTTCAAGCTCCACTGTTGACATGCAGCTCCAGGTATCCAGTGCATCTGCCGAACAACAAAGCAGCTTTCACAGCAGCTGATAGAAGACCGATGTCTGAGGAATGCTGCAGTTTAACAGGGATTCACACATGCACACACACGCACACACACAGCTAATAATAACTACTTTAATCATCGTCATCACCCCCTAAATGAGCTGAAAACCCTGCATCAGTTTTATTAAACGCACCCTGTGGAGTTTTCTCGTTAGACAGGAACTGTTATGTTTACATCCCTGAAAATAGCATAAGCAGGGATTCCTTGAGGCAAATCAAACACAGCCTTCCTTATGAGGCTGGAATTAAAAATGTCTCTGCAGAGAAGGATGATGTGAGTAACCGGGGGTCCTATGTGTTCATGGTAAATGGTAAATGGCCTGTATTTGTATAGCGCTTTACATGCTGCTGCAAACAAAAGAAACTTTGAGTCAAGTACTCAAATAACATTTTGGGGGTGTTTCAGTCTTCAGTTACAGAAATGATGAGAACAAACCAATGACAGCGGCAGGTTTTGTCTGAGAGTAGCACAGATGAGCCAGCTGAGCTGCTTACAGAGAGAACGTGAAGCAAACAAGAAAGTGCCTTAAACTTGCAGTCATTCAAATGTCCAGCAGGGGCGATTCCTATTGTTGCAAAGATGTCTGGTTGTATAGTAATCTATGGGAAAACGGGCCTGATTCTTACTTCCTCCATGAGCTCAGTAAATACTTTCCAGATTACTTTATAGGCTCAATCACTAGTTCCATGTTGCATTTAATATAACATCGTGTTCATTTAGTAAATCATGGTTCCCATTATTGTCGAGGCAGATAAAGCTTGCTATGCCTTACCTGTGGGAAGTGGGACTATCACAGACAGAACTACCCAGGTTCATATTATATCGGCATGACACGTTTAGCCGCTAGCAGATGTGAGTCTGCTAGCATCTGCCAAAAATAAACCAAAGACACAATTAAAGAGAATTTTACATTGATAACGCACAATTAATACTTTACAGTAGTATGCTACAGATCAGGAGTTGGTTTAAAATAGAGACACAAGCTTAAAAAGAATAAAAAGCAAATCCACAATGTTTAAAGATAACGCACATAGTGCACATGTTACTGCATTTCCACACAGAGCCACTAGAGGTCGCTTAAACTTAAAATCTGACTATAGGTCCTAAGAAGATGCTTGCACAAACAACTTATGGTAGTGTTGCTCCAGCAGGTCACTGAGGGACAGCCGACGCCTGCTGCTGACCGGGAGGGAGTTCTTTCTCCCCACAGTCACCAAGTTTGTTTACAGGGGAGTGGCCAATTGTTGGGGCTGTTTCAGTAATACTGGAGGGTACACTCACTCACATATGTAGTCCTGATTGCTGTTGGAGGTAATAAAAAGAAAACTGGCCTTTTTTACGATCCTGCTATTTGCCTGCCATTAAACATACACACGACTGTTCTGTAAAATGTAAACAGAGCGCAGTAAAGCCGTCACAGTGAGTGACAACAGAGCCTGCCAGGCTTCCATCCTCTGGTCCCGTCATCCCAGGCTGGGCGACAGGCCTCGATCGGCTTTGCTTTTTCCATTGCAAATGAGTGTGGCAGATACATTTGTTGTTGCGGTTGAGGGCGCTGAGCTAATACCGCCTAATAGGAGCACCAGCTGCCTCCTTCACTGACCACAGCCACAACCAGCACTGAGGCCCGGGGGACATCTTTAACTGCCCAGCATCTGTCCAAACCGGCAAAGTTGAATTTCAGACGTCAGCAGTTCGTCCCAGCAACAAATTTGAGGTGCAAAAAAGGAAACCCTTCTCTCTGCAGAACTCTTACTGTCACATCCTTAACTTTGATGTTTGTGTTTGAAGGGAAATCTATGCACACATGCAGTCCAGCGCCACAAGACATGCGACCTTTAGCTGCGAGAGGGAACTGGGTCGGTCCCCGTGGAGTTAACAACAAGTCCTCGGCAGCGTTTAGGCCAGAGAGGGTGGCGGGTTACTCTGTCATATCTGTGCTGCTCTGTGGCTCGCCATCAGCTGAACAACTGGCAAAAGGCTCCATCTCTTGCTGCCCTTATCTGTTTCCCACAGTCTATTTTTACTTTGCTTGTGTTTTTTTCTCGAGCTGCTGCAACATTCACTAAAACATTAGCAACAGAAAATCCTACAAGATTAAAAAGAAAAAAAGAGAGAAAGAAATTCGGATAGTAGCTTTGGGAGACAGACGGCAACCCGAGCGTCCTCCAGCCTACCAGCAGTCCAGCTAGACATCCCAGGGACTGCTCTGTTGACTGTTTAACCATGCAGCAAGAATCAGATACCAGCTGGAAATATTCACACAGCTTGTTTTTTTGCTGCTTAATAAAACATGACAAAAACTGGAGTGTGGTTACCAAGCTCATTTCTTTAAGCTGCTGCAATCACACTCGTTTTAAAACGCTTGTTCCCAAGAAATAAATTCTACAAAGCAAATCTCAAAATCCCTGAATATCCTGTTGACCACATGGGACTAAAGGGAACAAGACCTCGCACACAGAAATCTTCTCCTTCAGCCAAACACACGATACACAAATCCACCGTGAGAGCAGTGAGTGTGCCGTGTCACCGGCGTGTCTTCTTAAAATGACGCCATAAAAATGAAAGAGAAGCTGTGAAACAAACACTTGTGTTTAAAAAAAAAGGAAAGAAAAGAGATTAACTCAGAGCTCTTATAACAAACACGCTGAGGTCAACTTTTACCATCTGTTTTAACAGATGTTGGCTGTTGCAGGTGAAGCTCAGCTCCAACTTAATCTTCTTAAATCCCAAGGCTCTGTACAAATTCAGTTAGAGGACAGCGTTTGTAAGGAAAGTAGATCTGGTGTTTGTAGAGTTTGTGTTGGCTTCTGTTTTATTATAAGTCCTGTAGCGTTCACTCACAGATATGCTCCGACGGGACATATCAGAGCTTATGTGAAACTTCAACATGAACTAATGAGACGCAGTTTGAACTTGATTATAGAAGAAATTGTCCTTTTCATGTCATCCCTCCAAACCTCAGTTTTCTTATTTGAAACTGCAGTTTTTGGTTTACTTGCTGCTTTGAGTCTCTGTGTTGTTGCATTACCCAAACCCGCCTGTGAAACTTGCTAAACTTTTGCATTCATTGGTTCAAAAGCAGCGCTGAACCACGATGATTCCTCCGCCGTGCTGCAGAGTCAGGACGAGGCTTTAAAACCTTTATCTCATCTTTCCTGAAATGTTGTGGCTCATCCAAATATTTGAGACACACTCCAGTGTTCCCACTCAACGTTTTTCTGCGAGTGGACGCATTTAAAGTTTTAGTCCTTTTTCCATGTTGCACTCTTGGCGTGATCATTACAGGATATCTGGTCATCTAAAGGTTTGTGATCCTCTTAGAGGCATCCAGTTTTGTTTGCCTCTCTTAATATGGCGTTCTTTCTTCCCACTGTCACCAAGTGTTTGCAGGTATGGGATTGTTGAATCATTGGGGCTTTCTCTCTCTCCATGAGATCGTTTTTGTTGTGAAGTGATGCCATTAAAATAAAACTGAAATTGTCTGTAACCCACAGGTGCGATGGATGTACTGTAGGTGAGGACTTTTGTCTATAAGTGAGACAATCACCGCTAAACATCACCGCTGATGTTGCTGCCAAAAGGTTCAACAAAACCTTCCTGGTCAAATGGAGTTTTTTTTTTTAAAGAAGAGAGAAAGAAGAGCAATATTAAACTGACTTCTCTGTCACAGGCAAACTTCCAGTTAGAGATGGTTTAAAAAAGAAAGACGAAAAAAGGAGCTGCGTCTGTTAATGGTGAGAAATGAAAAGTGCGATCAATCCATTAGAGGGACTTCCATCAGCCCGATGGGTGGGACGAGGCCAAGGTGCTGAATGAGACACTCAGCCTCCTCGTCAGTATTCGGGCGGCATCCTCCCGCTCCAGGACCACGTTCACACTGCAGGCCTTCACGCTCTGCTCTTAACCGCTGCTCTGATTTCAGGATGCCGTATCGCTATCTGTAACCCGCATCTGATAAAAATATGAAGCGACAGCGATGCTGAAAAGAAGCTGCGTGCTCAGGATGACAACAACAACACGTGTCCGATCAGATTTTGTGCCTGCGCGTCTTGTGTTCAGCGTGTTTGGGTTGAAGGTGTTGACTGAAATTAAACCGTGTCATTGATTGTCTAGCTGCCCTTCATGTTAACAAATCAGTGACAAAAACAGACCATAGAATCAGAGCTTAGGAACTGTAACAAGTCAGGCCTGGATATCGACACAGTTTTAGCCTCAACTCAATCAGAACAGTGAGAAATATATTTTAAAAAGTTGTCTGCTGTAATATAAATATAAAATAGATATATATCCTACAGCAACAATCTAGCATCATTTCCCGAGGAACGTGTTTGCTGGCAAACTTAAAATCCAGCTTAAATATGTTTATTTACTTTGCATGCTTTGCTGCAGCAGTTTG